GGCAATCAACAACACGAAAGACAGAATTATTTAAACCTAATAAAATATATTTCATTAAGATTGATTAAAAAATTGCACTATTTAATTGAAAGTCAATTATAATGTTCCAACTTGGCTTAGAAAATAATATTTCAAAACATAATCAAGATTTAGCAAACTTAGCTCATAAACTATGAGCTAAGTTTGCTTCTAGAAAAACAATTTATTGACATTGATTAAACATGCCTAATGTTATCTATTTTTATCATAACTTGACTTTGCTAAGTGTTAACTTTTTAAATTACTTTTGTATGTAGTTTAGAAAATTTTGTTATTTAAGGGTAATTTATAATGGTAGCCAGTATTTACATTTGTTAAAACTGAATTTTTAAAAATACTTTATTAAATAAATTATTACAAAATTATGACATAACCTAAATTAGAAACAAATGGTAAAAACAAATGATGCCATTTTTTTGTTGCCAAATCTAATTTTTCCATTTGTTTGAACTCCATTTCACAACACTTCATTACCAATCAAAGGGTCATCCCTAAATAAAAATAATTCAATTCTTATAGCACATAGCAACTACATAGCAGTATATGTTTATTTGATTTTAAAATTTAATTATTTTTAGTAATAAAAATCTAACTTTAATAAATATAAATAACAATTTTATAAAGTTTTAAGATGTTGTTTTTTGTTGATAACAAGTAAAAATTAATAAATGAAGGGTAAGGGGGTCTTTATAAACATGGGTTATGTGGAAAAAGTTGCCAAATATTAATAAATATTCCCTTCTATTTATTAAGCACCTAAGAGTACATTTTAAAAGTATAACTTAATAAAGTTATTCACTTTTTTAGTGAAATAGTTTTTATTACTTTAAATTAAACTATTTTAGAAAATACTGTAAAATGTTTAATATTGTTTTACTTCTTTTGGGTTGATCTTATATGCTTCAACTTCATACTCTTAGAAATGATTTTGATAGTTAAACATTGAAAACAAATGTTTAACTTTCACATCATAAACTAAAAATGGTAGTTGATTTAAAAACCAAGTTAAAGATTTCACAAATTCAATAAAAGAAAGCAATGTACATTAGAAGTAAGTTTTTATTTTGTTATTTTTATATTCATAGTTAAGTTACTTTTTAATTTTCATTGTATAAGTTATTTTAACATCAAATAAAAATTGGCACTATAATAAAACCTTTATTATTACTACTTTTATCTCAAAGCTTCTCCTTACACTTTTCAAATTCAAAAATAATCAGTTTAATTTTTTATTAGATAAATATTCTTCCTGAGTGATTTTTAGTATTTTTCCTGAGAAAAATACTATAAACTAATCTTAGTAAAAAGTAGTAAATATAAACAATAAACAATAGTTGAGGAAAGTAAGAGTCATTAATTTTTATGCTTATGAACAGTTGTTAGTGTTGAACGTAGATGTGATGTGTAGAAAGTGTGAGAGTTATTTGAAAATGTCCATATTATTTTCATAAGTATGTAACCATGTGGTCTATATTATGAGCGTTATAAACATTATAAATATGTTTTTCATGGATATGGTATGTGTTTGCGTCTTATGGTGCATTATGAACACAAGAAGACCAGCTTTTATCATCCCACAAGTGGTTCCACTCTAGGTGTTTACCAGGGTATCTTTTTGTTAGAGTATCCCTTTGTGTTATTCCAAATGGACTTTTCTCAGGGTATCCCATCAAGACAATTGCCACAGACCTTTGCATTGACCCTGAGATCAGAGGACACTTAATGGACTTCAGTACAACTTGCATTCAATTGTAAGTGGTTTTTGGACATGAGTGATAGTAAGTGTGGTGATTTGTTACAGTTTAACAAGGGTTGGTTAGAGTTGTGAACTGTTTTTATTTTTTATGGCTTTGCAAGTGATGTATCAATGGAGAGTATGTGTGTATGCATACTGTAGTGCCATGTATTATTAGTATGAGTGATTAATACAAAAGTAGTTGAAAGTCATTTAACCTAGTATAACGTAAGGTAGAAATGAATTCTAGTAGCCATGTAAAATATATATAAAAACTGTTACAACTATATTATTTAGAACGTTAAAACAGAATGACAACAATTTAGCAACAATATCTTGTATATATATTTCATAACTAATAACCTAAACTTTTCTTTTGAAGATGGTGATGAGCATTATATTCAGAATGTTAATTTATTAATTTCTGATTTTGAAAATGTTGTATTACTGTTGTATTAATTTATTAATTTAATTACCAATAACTTATTAACAATAATAAGAGCATTAGCAACTTATTTGTATTTATCTACAAATATTAAATTAATACCCAATGGAAAAAAAAGTATCGCAAACATTCTCTACAACATATTAGTTAACAAACAAATAAAAAATAACAAAATATACCTTCTAATTTCCGATTTTTTATTAGGTCTTTCTTTTTCTCAGTTGACATTTTCATGATTTGCAATCTTATATTGTATTGACTCTCAGTTTATGATTCAAAAGTTAAACATCAGGTTTTGATGTTTAGCTATCAAAATCATGACTGAAACTCAGCATCAAAAGGAATTAGCTAACATTATATCCTAAAAATGTAATAAAAGTTTATATAAGTATATTTTATTTAAACTAATTTATAAACATTTACCTTTATCTCAGTTACCTTTATCATGTGTTAAAATAACTATATTTTTATTTTGTTTAAGAATACTTAAAAAAAAAATAGTTACAAGAAAAAGATCCTAATCTACTAAGACAAGGGCAATTATAATGTTTGCTACAGAAATTACATAAACAACTTTTTTTACTAAAAAGCAATATAAGCAAATCTATCCAAGACTATCACAACCAGCACGTAAAAAGTTTGAACAAACTCCTAATTTCAGACCTATTATTTCTTCATTATGCCTATTATTATAAACTACCTACATTCTTAAGTACTTTAGTCAAACTGTGTATTGATCATCAAAAGATTCCTTTACTTTTCTTGAAGAATTAAAATTACACTATTTCAGTAATAATTTTTTAATTTCTTTTGATGTTGAAAGTTTATTCACTAATATTCCATTGGAAGAGACCATTGAATTAGCAGTTTCTAAAATTGTTCAAAGGGATGCAAAATTGCTTGTTCGGGTGTGAAATCATTCTATCAAATTTTTGCTGTAGGTGTATTTTTGTTAGGTGCACTTTTGCTGTATTTTTAGATCTCGTGTAATGACTAATATTACTCAATATTAGTCATAAATTTTAGTAATAACTAAAATGGCTCTTTAAGTTCAATAAAAATTGAACTTATATAATATATATATATATATATATATATATATATATATATATATATATATATATATATATATATATATATATATATATATATGTATATATATATATATATATATACATATATATATATATATATATATATATATATATATATATACATATATATATATCCTTATATATATATATATATACATATATACATATATATCTCTCACTCCGTTGCAAGTCAGGCCATAAGATAGTCGATGTAGCAACACTCCTTTGTAGCAGCAGGCTATAAGATAGTCAATGTAGCAATTAAATTAATGTGGAAGTACATTAAATTTTATTGTTTTTTAAAAAATTTTTAAAAAACCGCAATAATAACGACTAGAAAGTTTTTTTTAATTTGTAGTGTTTTTGTTTTTGTTTTATTAAAAAACATTTTTAACATGCGTAAATGTTGCTACATCGACTATCTTATAGCCTGACTCGCAACAGAGTGCTGCTACATCGACTGACAAATAGCCTGACTCGCAACGGAGTGCTGCAACATCGACTGACAAATAGCCTGACTCGTAAGGGAGTGCTGCTACATCGACTGAGGGTTTGGTTTGGGCAGGCAGTCTATCATTTAAAAAAAAAAAAAAATTAAGTTTTTAACTTTTTCTGGTCTGGTTTATTAACGCGCTCTTAAAACTACAGTTTATTTGAAACTCTTTTCAACTACCATGCAAGAGATATATATATATATATATATATATATATATATACTCTTGCATGGTAGTTGAAAAGAGTTTCAAATAAACTGTAGTTTTAAAGAGCGCGTTAATAAACCAGACCATATATATATATATATATATATATATATATATATATATACTCTTGCATGGTAGTTGAAAAGAGTTTCAAATAAACTGTAGTTTTAAAGAGCGCGTTAATAAACCAGACCAGAAAAAGTTAAAAAACTTAATTTTTTTTTTTTTTTAAATGATAGACTGCCTGCCCAAACCAAACCCTCAGTCGATGTAGCAGCACTCCCTTACGAGTCAGGCTATTTGTCAGTCGATGTTGCAGCACTCCGTTGCGAGTCAGGCTATTTGTCAGTCGATGTAGCAGCACTCTGTTGCGAGTCAGGCTATAAGATAGTCGATGTAGCAACATTTACGCATGTTTAAAAATGTTTTTTAATAAAACAAAAACAAAAACACTACAAATTAAAAAAAACTTTCTAGTCGTTATTATTGCGGTTTTTTAAAAATTTTTTAAAAAACAATAAAATTTAATGTACTTCCACATTAATTTAATTGCTTTGACATTTCGACGACAATCAAATACAGCTTAAGAGACGAGGTAATTAAAATTGTAGTCGAAAGAGACTTTTTTTACATTAAACGACTCTTTCGACTACACTATAAGGATATATATATATATATATATATATATATATATATATATATATATATATATATATATAATATATATATATACTATATATATATATATAATATATATATATATATATATATATATATATATATATATATATATATATATATATAATATATATATATATATATATATATATATATATATATATATATATATATATATATATATATAATATATATATATATATATATATATATATATATATATATATATATATATATATACATATATATATATATATATATATGATAACAGAACCAAACTATGAAAATTATATATAAAAAAAAGTAACACTGAAGTATCATTATTTTATTTTATCACAAGTTGAACAATGCCAGTTGATATTGTCATCATTAAGAACATTATCTGAAATTCTTTCGCACATTCTGTGAAACCACTGCAAACATCCTGAACATTCTACCATGTGCCTATAAATAAAACACATCATTTAAAGATTTGTTATAGTAAAAAATTAGATTTCATTTGATCTAATTTATACTTTTTTACATTTACATTCTACACATTTAAATTTTATTCACTATTATGTAATAGAACCATTATAACTATTATTATAAAAGATAATAAAATATTGACCTTCCAAATATATTTTTATCTGATGGGACCCAAATCATTCTGCAAGTGCAGTATAAATCTAAATATATCTCCTTTTCAACATTTCGTCTGACATTGTTTGTTGTGGTTGAAAACAAACTTAAATAGTTGTTTTTAAAAGAGTTAAGCAGCTCGGTTCTCAGTTTTGTTTGATCAAAATTCACATTTGTGGGATAGTCCTTAAAATGTAACAGGTATTGTACAAAAGCAATTGCATAGATGCCACAGTCAATACCATTTGTCTGTTGTTGAACTGGTAAAACTGTAACTTTAATTTTACTTAATGGGCAACGAATTATTGAACATATTTGTCTCATTGTGGCATGGCTAAGTTTACCTCTAAAATAACTATCCATTACAAAAACATGCCCTGATAAACAGTTTACTGTGCTAATCGCAAACCAATGAGCACACCCATCATGCAACACTTGAACAAACTCTTCATCTTTTAGAATGCTAAAACTGAGGTTTTGGCCAAGAATGGGGTCTTGTAAACCTTTAGCATTAGGGTACTGACGTAGCAACATTTTTTGTGCAGCATTAATGATGTTGTCAGTTAGCATTTTATTGCTACCAATCGCTTCAAAGTCATGTCTGGGAATATCAAGCGATTAGAATATGTTTTTTTTTTACGCTTTTTTGGCAAGTCTAAAAGTTTAAAGTTTTTAACATGTTGTTGCTGAATAATAGGTATGCCACTCTCGTGGGTAGTATTTTCTTGTAGAAGCTTTGACGCTTTCAGTAACAGGCTATATACTTCTGTAAAAAGACTGGTACTTTTGTTGACCTCATACAATTGATTTTTAATTAAACTAATGAGCTCCCTACAGTCCCCAGCAAAAACACTTTCTTTTTTTAAATCAATATTACACATTTTTTTGGCATTTATTTCTTCAGACAAGTCTAGATTTTTAGAAATTGGTAAACTAATGTCACATTCATTTGTTGCATACAAAGTTTCTTTATTTTGAAAACAATTTATTTTGTCAGGTAAAGTATTTTCTTCATTGTCTAATGTTAAGAATGGTGAATTAAGATAGAGTTCTGACAATGCATCCCATTGCCAGAGTGGAAACTTTCTAAAAATGGCAAAAAAATGCTTGCAGGGAAAGCAAGATGAACGCCAGGAAGGACATGTGCAGTTAGGCATAGATCTATCATTTCCAAAATTAATTTGGTAGTTTTCTTTATTATTTTTAATGGAAAAAACCCCATGGTTTATCATTGTGACTTTAGATAAATCAATGCTTCCAGCTAAACTGATTTTCTGAAGGCAATGCTTGACCAATGCACGAGGCCTATTTATTAAAAAATTTGGTATTATTTTTGCGTATCGACGATACCTCGAGTCCATTTTGAAGTTCTTTTCAGTATAGCTAAAAAATAAACTGAACATAATGAAATATCATTATAAATCAGTAGTTTAAGCAATTATATACTTTTAATACTCGTTATAAAATTATGACACTTTTTTTAATTGTAAATAATTTTAACAAAAATAAGTTTAATAATTTAAAATAATATAAAACAAGTCGTTTACCTTTGATATTTATCTATAAAAAACTCTTCAATTAAGATTGTTAGCATTCCAGTTAATGAATAATTTTTAAATCGTTGGAGGTAAAAATATTTAAAAGATTTGTTTTGCCTCTCCACTCCATTGTTAGTGTTTAAATTAACAAGTAGGCGGTTTTGACGGTATGCCCAAACCCAACGCTGAAAAATTGAAATATATAAAAAAATATTTTAGGCTAATACATAATTAAAAGAATTGAATTTATTCAATTAAATTTATTTAACTTGTTAAAAAACAAATGTAATTAATTTTTTAAATAATTTTCTTTTATTAGATAATACCTCTTTGATAGGTAACCAATAAGTTTCTATATACTTTCTTAACTTTAAAAAGTTTTCGTTATTCCAAAAATCAGATTGTTTCAAATCCATTACAGCTAACTCCATAGCATTTATAGTTGTTGAATGAGCAATTTTTCTCAGTTTGAGCAGGATATTGGATTTGTGATTAGCACAACCATTTGAGACTTTTACCAACCAACGCTCCCAGGCCTGTTCCCGATGAAAATCGCAGACCAAAACTTTACAATCTAAACAAAAAGCGTAAATTAACTTAAACCCAGCGCAAACAAAAACCAAAAACTTTTTCGCACTTTCTTTTTATAATTTTGCACCCTCTGTTATAACAACCAAAGAACTATTGTAAACATGGAGACTTTATTGAAATTCTAACTATTCAAAAAACTTACCAGGAAAAGTTTCTTCCAATGCATCAATTTCCTCATTACAGTAATCTGTCATGCAAAATTTAGGAGAAAGGTTTGGATTCATTTTTTTTAAAACATGCAATGCCTCATAGATTGCTCTTTTCGTTTCATTTTCTGTAATAAAGCATCCAACTATTTGGTAGTCAACATTTGTTTTGACTTCTATAAAAAAAATTGGTAAAACATATCTGGTGGTTTTATAGGTTGCATCTAAAAGGAGCATTTCATTACCATATCGACGCACAAGTTTGCATTGCCATATTGATTGGTAAACAAATAATAGTGATTTTTCTGAATCATTTTCAGTAAACTTCAAATCATCTTCTTCTTCATTAATGTCTTCATTTTTATGTATTTTGTCTGCTATGTTATTTAATGTGTAGTTGTTTTTAGGTCGAAAAAAAATATTTACTGATGGATCCTCGTTTTGCCACATTTTTATTTTATCAAGAAGGCATTCCTGGTCAATAAAAGAAAGTTGTAATTTCTTTCGTGCTTGTACCATATGCGATCGAATAATGTTGTTGGTAGGGAAAAATCGCCTATTTCTTAAATCAGGCATAGATGTTTTATCAAACATGTCATTTTTAACAAAGATTTTTAGTAGGCGTTTCATTTCGTGTATACTTTTTACTTCATTGGCATAATCTATTATTTTTTTAGATAATCTAGGATCAATTTCCTGTGAAATACCAGCAAGCTAAAAAATTAACAATACATTTTTTTCATTCTTTTTTTTTTTACCTAATTTAAAACCAACAAAGCTGCATGCCACACCTTTTCTTTTACCTAATTCAATACTGACAAGACTGCAACAACATAGTATATACAGTTTAAGTTAGAAGTGACAGAAAACTTAAAGTAAAATTGAAAAGCAAGAAAGCTTGACAGAAGACTTAAAAATCTGTAGATTTTAAGATTCTGTAATAATAAAATATATTTGTTTTTTCTTACTGTCTTTCTGAATATCTTTAATCAATATACATACATTTGCAAATACCCCCAAGAGTATAATAAACAGTATAAACGTTATATACAATATAATATATACGACCCGCCTACAACATTCCTTCTGACGCAACACCTTAATAGTTTCTCTAGATCACAAAGTCGGCATACTTATTAGGAAACTTCCGCACACGTGTCGATCTTCTGAGATTCAGGTTGTTCGCGGTGGGTTCTTCCGGTTCTCTCGTAGACAAGTTAGCTACAATGGGAGCTGGACGGACGTCTGACATGTGTCTCGGCAATCCATTGATTTCTACCGAAACTCCTCGTCCTTCATCTGAGACTCTTCCTCTATTCCATTCGCTAGTACATTTTGAATCAGGTGGTTTTACAAATACTTCTTGTCCTTGTGTGTAGTTGTGGAGAACTTCCTCGTTAGTTTTGTCAAAAATTGTGTGTGGTTTCCACTCATAGGAAAATATAGCTTTGTAGGGGAGCGATGTTTCCTTGCCATTTTTTCTGGGAGCCACGTTATACCAATATACCATTTTTAACGGATCTTTTCCACTTCTTGCTGCCATGAGCTTGATTGTGTGATGATGACGTTTAACAATTCCATTTTCAGATGGCTTGTGAGCGCAATGAACAGGATGGACACTCCCCATTCTGCGCATAATTCACCAACAAGTTTTGAGCGAAAGGTCTTGCTGTTGTCAAGAAGAACTTGCCACGGAGGTCCTCTTTCTTGAAATATTTCTTCTAGATGGAAACACACTGTTGCTCCTTTCTCGTTTTGTAGCTTCCTCCAAATTGCAAACTTGCTCCTTTTGCCACAGTCAATGATAGACAAATAAATCTCTGATTTATAGAGGGTAACGTCAATAGCTAAACGGTACCAGCTCTTTCCAACTTCAAGATTTCCTTCTTCCCATCTGATTGGAGCAGGATCTACTGATAAACATCTTTCACAACTCTTGACGACTGATTCAATCTTTTCTACAAACTTTCTCCTTCAGATATGTCTGTTTCATCAAATAAAGGGTTCAATTTACTCCAAAGTGATGAAGATTATGAAACGACTTCACATCAGGCGGTACGAGATTTGCTGTCATTGCAGAATGGTTTGAATGCAGCCAATTCTGTGGTACCCTCGTAAGAGCATCGGCTTTATTTTCTGCTGACTTAACCAGGAAAAGTTTTAATTGTATACCGCACTCCTTCACAAGGTCTTCAATTAACGATAACCGGCGACGGACAAGTGGTTCTCCAAGACCGTGTACTCGAATGGGTTTGTCACCAATGATTAAGGATTTCAACCAGGCAACAACAGTAGCCGAGTCACACTTTATGGTAATACATTCGAATCCCTATTTTGTTGGTAGATTGATTCCTTTTATCACAGCTTCTAACTCTGCGAGGTTTATGTGAGCCGCATCATCTTGTTTTCTCAGCCACGAGTAGGCTTCTACTATTTCCCCAGCCACTTCCAGAACTATGCCAACAGCTAAACTGCTTGCATCGCACCACACTGTTACTTCAGAAGTGTTTTTTACGTTCCATGACCCATGAACCGGATCTTTCTTTGTAAGTCTTTCATTTAAACTGCTTACTAAATTGACAACACCATCGTTCACCAAAGTGTCCCATCCACAACTACTCGAAACCCTTTTTAGATAGCTGCACAAAGGCGCAACCAATTTGCTATTGGAAAATGTCCAGTCAGCTGTCCGCACCAAGAAAAGATTTGCGGACGCGTCATTTTTCCTTCAGGAACTTTGAGTATGTTGTCACGTTTCCAGCGCACTTGGTTGCATTGTTTGTACACTTGCAATCCAAGCACACGCCCACCAACAAGTTTTTCTGGCAGCTTAGAATCCAAGCCATATTTTTCAAGAATTCTTGAACTCTGCAACTTGACATTATGTTATTATTGACAATGATGTCATCAATAAATGAATCCGTCCCAGACAACATAATGGTATAAGATACAAAAACATTGATACGCAAGGAAAATAGGTTGATAAATAAAAGTTCCAGCGATGCCCAATACATAAACATGCTATTTTATTTGTAAAATTATGATTTAATAATTTATAATTAATGTTTATTATAATAATTTATCAAAATGTTTATTATAATAATTTGTAATAAACATTTTGAACACTTTAATTTTCACATCAACCTCAACTGCAATAATAAATTACAAAACATGTTTAAAATGCTATTCTTAAAATTTTCTTAATGTTGGTGCATTATATATAGTACCAAAAATTCTAACCACCTTAGTAAATCACTTTAAAATTACCATGTAATCCTTGAAGTATATAATTTCCTTCAAAATAGCTTGGGCTGGGCATTCAAATTTTTTTGTGTCCTGCACATTAATATAACTCCTCATACAAGAGTGTTCAGTTATCTAAAATTATAAAATAAGTACATTAATAATAGTTATTTATTAATGATTAAGTTATTATTTGTATCTTTTTTTATTGATAATAAAATTTACCTTTGTTTTTGTCTTATTCTTGTATGCTTTCTTTGCTGCATCATTACGATCTATTCCATGTGAGCAATCCAAAACCTTGCGTGCTAAAACCATAAATGGAACATTTGCATAGCATCCTTCACTTTCCCATAACACTTTGTGCTTTTTACTATGAACATCTAGATATAACACAATTTATTTTACACCAATTGTGATTAGTCAATTATATATTCAACAAACCTATATTTTGTTTTAAATAATTCAAAATAAAGTAAATTCAAACCCCTGGTAACTCAAACTTCCAGTAACTCAAATTTTTTTGGAATTCCTGTTGATTTTTCTTATATAAATCTCTCCATAACTCAAACCTGCAATAACTTAAAGATTGACATCAAAATTAACCCAAAATTTAGCCATTTTTATTTGATTCTTAAGGCAATAACCTTTAACATGAACTTTCATATTATTTTTTTTTTGTTAGTTATTTAACATTTTTATTTTAACTTAAAAAAGGAACATTTGCAAATTTATATTTTTTCGTTTCTAAATTTGAGAAGAAAAAACCTTCTCTCTAGCCTAAAGGGCTAACCTAGGGGGAAATTTAATGAAAATATTAATGCACTTATAACCTACTCTCTAAACTTATGCTTTTTTTTCATTATCAGTACATTTTTTGCTTAATAATGCTTTATATTAATCTTTCCTGTATTGAAAAGAAAACTTTTGAAAAGAAAACCTGTATTGAAAAGAAAACTTTTGATAAATCAAATTATTTTCACTTTTAAGGAAATTTGGAGTTAAAGAATGTCCTGGTAAATTAATTGGTTAATGTATTTACTCTATCTATAACATAAATTTAGTAAATAAATTCAAAGTTCTTTAACTTAGGCATTTATAATTGATATAAAGTAAATAAAAAAAAGTTTCTAACCTGTATTACCAAACCCTTTGGGTGTGAACCATGTTGCATAGCGAACTGTGTACTCTAATTCATGTTGTTTTATGAAACAAAAGGCCTCATTTTCATCATTATAAATAAATGTATGGCTTTTTCTGTTAGCTATAAACAACAATATAAATAACTTTACAATTTAAAAGCATTGAGGCTGGTTAGTAAATATGGTCTAAAACTAAATGCTAGTAAATAAATGGGCATACATTTTACAAACTTTTATTAAAATTACTTGAGTATCACTGAAAAATTTATATACTAACATATTTTTTGGAAAATGTTGGAAAAGGAAAAAGTATAACTTTGTGAATTTACCAAGCTTGGTAAATTCACAAAGTTATACTTTTTCCTTTTCCAACATTTTCCAAAAAATATGTTAGTAAATAATTTTTTTTTTGTCTTTTAATATATAATATATATTATATAATAATATATAAATTTTTTAATATATAAGTTAATATATAAATTTTTTTTTGTCCAAGTATCTTGGTCAGGTACTTGCAAGTACCTGACCAAGATACCTGGTATTAAAATTGAAAATAATTTGAACTTTACTATACCCATTATTTGTCCTGCAGCTAAAATAGCTAAAATGAAAGTTTATTTTATAACTTGTATTATATAATAACTGACTGGGGGGAGAAAAAAAATTTTTTTACACAACTATTGCACATCATTTTGAATAGAGTGCTCCATTTTTTTCTGAAATTCTCAGATGATCATCGTAGCTTTTTTTGTAAATTACATTCTCTTATATTAATTTCGTTTTCATATGAAAAAGAAAATAATATAAAAGAATGTAATTTACAAAAAAAACTACGATAGCTATATTTTTTAGTCACTGGCACAAATGTAGTAAAAATTGATTCATTCCATTATAATAATTTTATTACCTTAACCAATGTTATCCCGAATCAAAAAATTTATAATCTTTTATATTTTTAAATCTATTTTATAAAAATATTATTTTCGAATGATATAATTATTATAACATGTAAACTTACTATTATCTTTATTTTCATCCATTTAAAGTTTATAAAACATAAAGCACGTGGAAATAACGAATGAAAACAAATACGCAACGTAATTTAACATTACCATGACGTAACAAATAAAATTCGCATAATTAAAAAACACATCCTGACGCATACTATCTTCTGCTTACCTAGAATATTACCGCACCAGTAGAAATAATGAAAACGAGGATGCGTTTTGAAGTAATAGAACTTAGTAGAGTACCGAGTACGTCCGAATAATACAATAACGTTGAAAAAAAGTTGTTTTTTAAGAAACAATATCTAGTATGTTGGTTTTTTAACAAAATACATGGGTGATGTGATATTCTAAATATGTAATAGTGTATTTCTAAATTTTATTAAGGGGATGTGATATTCTAACATTCTAAGCACTATCCAGTATGTTGTTTTTTTAACAAAATACATGGGTGTAGGTACGTGTGTAAAAATTTTAAACCATTTATTCATTTAAGTATTATATATGGTTCGAAAGAGCTTTGAATTTATATTAAAATGGTGAAAATTTTATGAAAAACGAACAATTGCAAAAAAAGTTATGCTTATTTAAGTAACATTATTTTTATGAAGGATTGCTTAGGAAAAATGCAACCAACGTAAAAAACTCGCGTTCGGCTAACGGTAGCTTTGTTGTAGAACGTTATTGTTAATTTGCGCATGATTTTGCTTAGTGAAATGTGCAAAACGAGTCAATAACATTTTAAAAAAAGTTTTTAATATAACAAAAATTTTTTAACAATTTATAACAAAAATATTTTTAATGATTAAAACCTAATATTAAAATTTATAACAAAATTTTAAATAAAATATCGTGTATTTTAACGATATTTACAATATATATATATATATATATATATATATATATATATATATATATATATATATATATATATATATATATATATATATATATTAAATGACTCTGTATATATATATATATATATATATATATATATATATATATATATATATATATATATAAATTTTTAAACAATATACATTGGAATTGTGGTATTTTATATATATAACATATATAATACTGGTAGTACATAGGGGGTATGACATTCTAAACATATTGATAGTTAGTGGTATAATTCTTAGTTACACTAAGGGAGTGTAATATTCTAAGCAGCAAATTTGACTAACTATGACATTTATAAACAATATACATTGGGGATGTGTGTCTAAACATAATAGTATAATTTGCGTTATATTTCTTAATTTTATTATGAGAGGAGATTTATTAGGATAGTATTCTAAGATGCTACTCTAAGAGATTTATTAGAATAATATTCTTTTTTTAGGTTTCTTCTTGTTGTCCCTGGCCTCTAGCATTATGTTTTGTTGCATGTTATCAGACTTGTATGGTCACTACTTTTGAAGCCTTTCTGACTGAACAATACCCAGCTGTTTGTCATCAATGCCATCTATATCATGTGAGTAACACTGACTGCTGTTACTTGAAAAAAAAAACAGTTAGTTAAAGTCTTCTTCAATCTGTTTCACTCGTAAGATATTCTGTATTATTCTACTAAAGTAAATACAGAATATCTTACCTTTAAGAATATTTATAATTTTTTGCCTGATGTTGTCTTTAAGTATCCCAATCTTCAATTGTAGATTGCAGCTACTAATGAAGTTTGTAGGCAAATACCGTTACTATATCAAGCAGAAACCAAAGCAGTACAACCATTACTTATTTTTTCAGCACTTATGTTTATCATTATCTTATCCATCCTCCTAAACCAAATATGTTTATTCTTATCCAATTATTCTCCATCCTCCTAAACCAAATTTATTTGTTCTCTACTGATTTCTAGAATGATTGCTTCTGTAATATACATGTTTCTTTACTATTATACATGTTTCTGTAATTTCTGGTCAAGGTAGAACTTATTATTCTTCACTTTGACATTCTGTTCAAAAACAAAAGTGTTCTCCATAAGTTTCTTTAATTTTTACTAAACTGTTTAATAAGTGCTTGACTGAATCTAAATCTTGACACCTGTTCCCTCCAACTGCTATCTAGTCAGTCTTCTCTCTATTATAAGCAAAGTCTTTGATAATTGATCAACAAATTTCTAACATTCCAACTTGAGTCTAATATTTTACTCCCTGACAATCATTATGGTTTTTGAACTTCTTGTTTTGAGGCCGACTTGCTAACTGTAATGGCATGCTGGTCTTCTCCATAAGCTTGCTTCATGTGACGTATCTGAGAAAGTTTTTGAGGTTATCAAATCATTTCTTTCTAATTGTTTTATTAATGTCATCCTCGAAGGCTAACACTCTTCTTCGTTTCCAGTACCTTCTGGAGTACCTAAAATGGTTATACTTGGTCCTGTGTTATTTTTTATCTACATTAATGATTTTCCTGACAATCTTACATCTAAAGTGGCTTTATTTGTTGATAAATAAATTATATACACCTGTCTAAATAAAAAAACTCTCTAATATCTCTAATATCTCACTTTTGTAACAGCTTGGGGCTTTTGAATTTTAACTTCAACAAAACTCAGTTGTTTACTTCAACCTAACTCCAATTGTGGTAAAATTGCATTTCCTTCTATTTTCTACAAATGGTTGCTGCTCAAAGGAGCTATCATCTCTAGTTCCATTAACCAAAACTCATTCTCGATTGAATTGTCATTCAGCAAAGTCGCATTTAACTGTATCTGTTCCTGCATGCTCTAAAAATTATATAAACTATTTGTTTATTTTTTTTTCTTCGGACTTATTTAAAAATTGATTATATATTCTGTATTTTATTGAAGTATATCTTTTATTTAGATTTAGTACGAATCAGCAGTGAACTTATTATACAGAAATTATCAAACAAGTTTGAAGACTTCATAAACATAAATGAACTTTATTACATAAAACATAAAAAAACTTTATTATAAAATCTCTTTTTAACCGCAATTATTTCTGTTTACATACGTTTGAACAAAATTTGACGCATGCGCGTGTTAAAACAGCATTACTAAACCACCCTGTGTAGTATCTAGAAGCTCTAAAAATGTTTGTTGACTTATGATTTGCTATAAGTAAAACATTGGCGAGATTTAATGACTTGAAACTTATTGTTTTTAAGCCCGGAGTTCTTGCCGCAATTATACGTAAAGACTCCGGGTTCAAAAAATTATTGTTCCTCTTACCTAAAAGTCTTTATTTTTTTCCTATTAGTAGTTCATAAACTTATTAATATTTTTAGAGCTCCTGGAAACCAAAAACAAGGAAGAAGTAATCTTTTTGTGCTTTTCATATACAAAGTCCTTTTTGGGACTCCGCATCCCTGTTGTTATACAGTTACTGTTGATTCAACAGTATCTGTGGTGTGATAATTTTATAGGTAAAAGTTAAGCCGAAGATGATTGCTACATGTATCACTTATATTATGCTATAAATTTAAGAAATATTTTTAGATAAGTTATAACTGACATTTAAGAAATAAAATGAAACATAAAAACTAACTTGAAATAAAACATAAAAAAGTGACATTTTAAAAAAGATTTTAGTTACTGAAATGTATAAAGATACTTCTATTAATTTAAATTAATTCAGCCTTCTTTTAATACTATGTATAACGTTTTTAAATGAAAATGTAATACATGGTAAAAAAAACTTAATTTAAGTAAATTTAAAACTTCTGTACATTTAACAGTAACCAAAATTTATTTTCACGTTTTTATGTTTTATTTCCATCAACGTTTTTATATCAACAACAATATCTCCTCTTCATTTAATACATGTTGGGGTGTAGTATATTTCAACTTTAAATTTTTTACTGATAATATTTTAGCTGCTCCAGCATGACCACACGCTGAAGCTCTGTATTCGCCCCAGTGGCGTAGCTACCATATAGCAAAGTAAGGCAATGCCTCAGGGCCCAAGAGTTGAAAGGGGCCCTTTTAGCTTTGGCCACAGCACACAGCCGCTTTTATTTTTAATTTCATATAAACAATTTGAATATTTTATCTAGTTTTCATTGCGATTCTTATTTTTTTCTTTATAGAAATCTTTCAGTTAATTAGTCCTCCCCTCCCCTTTTTATTTAGATTTCTCCTAATATGTAAATTACTAGTGTTTTCATTGGTTAATTTTAAAGTTAACGCGCGTTTTTTCCGGACCGTTAGTAACAGTTTAGAAATGCTAACATTAACATGCACGTGTAGGGTCAAAAATATGTATTCGTAACAGTTGCTGAGGTTTTTAACATTGTTTAAATAACCATTGTATTTTTCTAATAGAAAAATACAAAATAGAAAATTTCTATTCATTGTTTCTTTTCTTTTATATCTCCTTTTCTCTTAAGAAATTTACGTTTTCCGTTTTTCTTCTTTAGATTATCTGAAGCATTGCAATAACCATATAGTGCTTTCTGTTTAGGGAGTTTAAAATTGTACAATTTATCCTGATCATTTCCATGTTATAAGAAAACATGGAACCATTAAAGAGTAAAAGTGGGTTTCAAAAAAGAAAACTTAAAAAACAGAAAGAAGAAGCATTAAATAAATTACCAAAGCTAGACAAGTTTATTATTAAAAATAATAATAGTAACCATGAGAGTACTCCAGATGATGCATCGATTGAATGTGAATGTTATGATGAGTTAAATATTTTAGAGAAAGGTTATACAGAAGTGATTGCTTGTAAATCAACTAAAGCAGACTGTAGTGATGGAGAAATTAAAAAAATTTCATATGAAATAGTTGACACTGAAGATGCTCAGGAAGTTTTAACAGGTATTAATGAAAAAAATATCATTTATACAAATACCACTATATGTAGTGACCTAGGAAAATATTTAAATCAGAACATTTCTGATGAAACCAAAAGATTACTGATAAGCATTCCTGGTCACAGACCTAAAGGTGAGTTTCCACTCATCCGTTTTTTTCACGGGAACGGGAAAAGGACGGGAAAAATAATCACGTGGGCATGCGTAGTATAAGTTTTAGTATGTCTGATGGAAAACTACGCATGCTCACGTGATTATTTTTTCCTTTCCTATCCCGTTCCCGTGAAAAAACGGATGAGTGGAAACTCACCTTAAAGGACCATTTCCCAAAGATCCTAGTCAACAGAACAGAAGTTTCAGTGAAACTTACTATTATTCTAAATCAAACTATGGCCCAGTTCCACGATTATGAATTTGTTATTCAAGTATGTTGGACGCAGTTTACTGTCAACCTTGTTGGCTTTTTTCAAGCATCAAAAGTCAATGGCAATCGGGGATAAAGGATTGGAAAAATTCATCACAATAGATAAAAATGCACAGTTCATCCCAACATCACATTGAAGCCTGTGCGGTGCTCGAATTATGGAAGAAAAATAAAACCATCGATCAAAAAGCTGAAGATGAAATACGATATAGGGCATCATTTTGGCAGATGGTTCTAGAACGATTATTCCGCATAACACTTATGTTATCAAAAAATTCTTTGGCATTTCGTGGTCACCTTGAAGGATTTACTGAGGATTATAATGGAAACTTTTTATCACAAGTTCAATTACTTTTTAACTACGACAGTGTCATGAAACAAATTTTAGAAATGCCATCTGGTTCAATCCGATACTTAAGTCCAACCACACAGAATGAACTAATACATTGCCTGGGAAAAAAGTTATTGAATGACTTGATTGCAAATATTAATTCATCATCATTTTATGCCCTAATGTTAGACACAACACAAGACATTACCAAGAGAGACCAATTAAGTGTTATAATACGGCATGTTCACATTGTTAGAAATGTAAATCAAGAACCAACTCATTTTAAAATTAAGGATACATTTAATGAATTGAAGGACCATTCAGCAGAGGGAATGACTAATCAAGTATTGACATTATTGAAAGAAGCACATATTCCAATTGAAAAGTGTTATGGGCAGGGTTACGATGGTGCTAACGTTATGAGTGGAGTTTACAGTGGTGTACAAACCAGGATTAAACAAATCCAACCAAATGCTGAGTATGTACACTGTAACAGTCATAATTTAAATTTGGTAATTAATGACTACGTAAATGGTTCGTATGATATCTTATTATTTTATGCTACTCTTCAAAATATTTATTTATTTTTTGGAAATAGCATAAAAAGATGGGACCTCCTCTCTATATTTACTGGGGAGTCTGAAGTTACATTGAAAAAACTAAATCCAACTCAATGGTCTGGTAGACTACAATCATTAACAGCTGTAAAAGTTCGATTTATTGATATTTTAAAGGCTTTGACTGAAATAATCTTTAAATCGACCAAAAAAGAAGAAAGAGAAGAAGCACTTCAAATAAAGAAAAAAATGGGGACATTCGATTTTGTTTTTATTAGTGTTTTTTTATTTAAGGTAATGTGCGAGGTTAATTATGCTTCAAAAACTTGACAAAAATAGGAAATAGACTTGGAGGAAGCTACTGAAGTTTTAAAACACGTTCGTGAAAAGTTAAATTACATTAGAAATTCATATGAACAAATCAAATTAGAAGCAGAAGAACTGGCACGAAAGTGTGACATCGAAACTAATTTTCAATCAAAAAGGCAACCAGTGAAAAAGCGACATTTTGATGAATTGGCTTCAGATCATCGGTTTCAGGACAGAGAGCAATTGAATTAAAATGAATGTTTTTTTATTTTGTATTGGACAAAATTAGCGTACAAATTGAACAACGTTTTTCGGGAATGCAAACCGTGAAAAACCTTTTTTGCTTCTTAGAACCTAAAAACATAATAAATTTGCCTGATACAGATATCTTAGAAATGTGTGAAAATGTTTCCAAAAAATATTCGAAAATTATCTCTCCTCTTTTTGGTAATCAATTTCTGCAAGCAGTTTCATTGTTGAAAACAGACTTAACTTCAAAAATGTCGATTAAGCAATTTTCAGATTTACTCCTTACTAAGTACAGTTGCTTAGAAAGTGAGTTTTCAGAAATATATACAGTTCTAATGTTGTTCTTTACCCTACCAGTAACTGTGGCTAGCGTTGAAAGATCTTTTAGCAAATTAAAAATAATAAAGGACTATAAAAGAAATTCTATTGGTCAGAGTAGATTAAAAGAACAAGCGATATTAGCTATTGAACACAAAGAAGCAGCACAAATGGATCTTAAAGAATTAATATGCAGTTTTGCAAATGCAAAAGCTAGAAGGAAAAATTTTAAATAATTAAAACATGTGAGATTCATTATTTCTTCGTTTGAGAGTTGGTTATAAAATGTTTTATATTTAATATTGCATATGGTATACCTTTTCTCTCTTTATTTACTGAAGTTTACATTTTATTTAGTATTTTATAAATATATTTTTTGAAGCAAAATTTTTGTATTATTCCTATAAAATTATTTTGGAAATATTTTAGTTGGGGGGCCCTTGCACTGGTTTTTGCCTAAGGGCCCAAAAATCCTAGCTACGCCACTGATTCGTCCATTTTATTGTTTTTTTTAGTTTCACCAGGTAGTTTTAATCTTTTTGGAATTGACCTCGATGCTTGAGAAGATGTGTTTCCTGAGAAATAAATCAATTTAGTAAATTAAAATCACCAAGATTTACATAAAATATAAAAAGAATAAGATTATATTGGAAACAGGTGTACTGCAAATATACAATATTAAAGAATAAAAAACCACAATAGTAACTTACTGCAACTTCTTTTAACATTACCAGGAAATTCAACTGATGGTGACAATGAAAACTCATTAAAAGAACTCATTAAAGTTTGAGTTTTTAATGAGTTGTTGAAAACAGAATTCGTTTCATCACTGGGAGTTTGATCTATGCCTGCTGATATTGTCCCTAAGCAAATATATATATAATATATAATATATATATATATAAATATATATACATGTATATATATATAATATATAATATATATATATATAAATATATATATAATATATAATATATATATATATAAATGTATATATATATATATATATAAAATATACATATATATTTATATGTATTTATATAAATATATATATATATATATATATATATATATATATATATATATATATATATATATATATATATATATATATATATATATATATACAGTGGCGGACTTAGTATAGGGCGTGGGGGGGCGAGCTGCCCCCCACGCCCCCCTAGAACGGTCTAACGGCGCCCCCTAAAACGATTAAAATATATATATATATATATATATATATAAGATTAAATTACTGAAGACAACCTCGGTCGCGCATATTTATTGACTTGGCCCCCCCGCGACACTAAACCTCAATCCGCCACTATATATATATATATATATATATATATATATGTATATATATATATATATATATATATATATATATATATATATATATATATATATATATATATATATATATATATATATATATATATATATATATATATATATATATATATATATATATATATATAGCTATGTTACAATAAAACTTGAAAACTTAAATGAAATATAATATATTAAACAGTTAAAAAATTGCATAATAAATCTTTTGAAATTTTTAAAAATCAATATAAATTTAAAAAGTTATTAGTGTTTTAGTGTATTAAAATTCGCCTATTTTTGGTTTCGATTTTACATTAAATTGTGTGAACAAAATTTTTTTTTATAACAAAAAATAACCGTTACTTATTTATATCTTCCCATAACTCAATTTTTTTTTTTTTTGATTGGAAAAAATAAATCATTAATGCTTTACCTTATAAAACTAAAATTGCAAATATATTAATACCATTACTGTAATACTTAATAATACTGTAATACTTAATAATAATAAAATTAACGTGACGTTTTTTATATTATCGTGCGCTTTTAAAAACTTAAGTTTATCATTAAAACTACCGTTTAAAAAATAATTTTCTTACAAATTATAAGCAACCTGTAGAAATTTTTATTGTGTAAACTTAGTATTAAAGGAAAAATAAGGATATTTATTTATCAAATTTTATTATATTATGACCAATATTTCAATTTCGCGATTAGGTTTTACGCGGATAATTTTTATTTGGCAGCGACGTTCTTTACGTTAAAAATTTTAATATTGCATACTCCATAACTATTGTAATATTTTCATAAAACCCTCATCTTTTAACAAGATATCTAACGTTACGTAAACGTTAAATAAAATCTTTCATAGACTTTCGTTCACATAAACTGTAATTGGTAGCCGTTTAGTGGGAGATATATATATATATATATATATATATATATATATATATATATATATATATATATATATATATATATATATATATATATATATATATATATATATATATATATATATATATATATATATCTTCTATATAATATTGCCAAACTTAATAGTAGTGTCCCTTGGAGCGTATTTGACACGAAACCCTTGGCAGCCATTGCAACCGAGGTATTGGCAAGAAAGAGTCGCAGCACTATAAGAATACGTGAACGAATATCTAACGTACGTAAACTTTAAACTAAGTAAGGTTAAAGCAAATGTTAAAACATACTGAAACATTTATTATGTTTTACAGTTTGATTTTTACTTGAAAATTACATTGTGTCAACCTCTCCTTAATTTTGATCTAACAATTTTTTCCTTAAAAAAATTACTAGATTATTATAAAATCTACACATAATGATATGCCGGTGTAGCTCGAGTGGATAAGGCGGCGAACTTCTGAACAAGGAGCTAGAGGTTCGACTCCTACCAATGGCGGCTATTTTTTTTAATTTTTTTAATTATTTTAAAATACAAAATACTTTCGAAGTTTTATAAAGATTATATACAAACATATGTAACGATGTTATGCACTCACAAAAGAAAAGATTTTAAGAAAGCTAAAACTTCATAAAACATTTAAAAAAAAAAAAAAAAACATCACTAGGAGAAAAAATATGTTGCGTATCTATGATAATTGAGACACTTATGTTATTAATGTGCTCATGTAATTAGTCCTAATAAGCTGCGGATGGTCTGAAAAAAAAGTTGTCTGAAACTTAATAAAGAAAAAACTTAACAAGACAGCCCTGCTACTTCAGAAGATGCTGCTGTGGAGGCAAAAAAAAAAAAAAAAGCCTGTAGCTAGATAAAACTTTAAAACTTTCTTTTGGCAATTAAAAGTTTATTTTGCTACATTAACTTTTTTACTATAAATATATACAGCAACTGTTTTTCAAAACGCCTTAATATGCTTATGACGTAATTAAAAAAAAAAACGCAATTAAAAATAAAATTGTTTGGAAAAACTCTTCGTAAAAAGTTTTTTGAAACAAGTAACTTTTATTTAGTTTTTTTTTTTCTTTTGTGCAACTTTCTTTTCAATAAATTTCTTTACCTTTCAGAATATAACCATTTTTAACAATGCTATAGAAAAAATATCAGTAAATTGATTAGTAGTATTTCAATTATATTAATTAGATTAAATTATATATATTAAATTATATATTATATATATATTAAATTAAATAGATAAATAAATTGATATACAGTTAATACATGTGTATTTTTTTTTTTTGAAAAAACTTAGTGACAAAATAGACTAATTAGATAAGTCGTTAAGTAGAATGCTAAGAATATATTTATGGTGGTTATTGTTGTTAAGGGTGATTAATATGCAAATAAATTAAAAGCTAATCAGGGTTTTGAATAAATTATAAACTAATCAGGGAAGTTTTATTTGTAAACCTAATAAATAGGAAGATAACATATAATTCAGGTAGACATTGTTTTCACTTTTTCGCCAAACTTTGATATATTTGATATTAAAAAATATGACCTTTCCAATAATTACAGATGGTAGTGTATTAACCTTTTTTTTCGGAACCACAATCCGTTATGATTTGTTTTTTAACAATGTGAACGAAAGTCTATTCAATTATCTAAATATGTAAACTTTAAGTTCTTTAATTATCAATCAGTATTATTATGAAGTAGATGACATCAAATTCTACCGATTTATTTTTACTTAAAAATTTCATTGCGACAATATCTCTTTATTTTAAAGCATTAAATGTTGTTTTTTAAAGTTTAATAATAATAATAAGTTTTCTGTTTATTAAATAGTGTAAAAAGATGATATAGCATTCCAAAGCGATTGAAGTGCTTCGCTTGGGTTCAAAACCTTTTGCATACACAATTTTTTTTTTAAATCTTATCCTGTTTTCTAGAAAACAAAGAAAAATAAGTTTAAATGCATATAGATGTTATACGCATTACATAAAAATAAAGATATAATATACTATAACAAACCAAACGGAGAGAATTTTTTAAAACGTTTTTTAAAATTTCTAAAAACATAAAAACGCTGTACTTGATTCACGTGTGAATAAAACGATGATTTATTTTAGCCGCTTTTAATTGAAATCAACCAAGATATGCTGCCCTCCCCTAACCCCGTGAATCAAGCACACCACCCTAAAATTTAACTAAAGTTAAAAAATATATAAATTAATTTTTAGAACTTTAAGAGGGTGGACCCAAAACTCAGTTTTTGTTTATTCCGCTATTTTGATTGATGTTTTTGTAAAGCAGTAAACCTTAAAAACACATAGAAGCTTTAAGGTGTTTAAGCTATAATTTTATAAAACGTGTTTAAGCTAAAATAGACTTTTAAGTCTTTTAACTACTAAACTTTCACGTA